CCTGAGCCTTAATATTGGTAATCTCCATACTTCAACAACCTTTGATGAAATCGTTACATGCCTCTAACTTCTTTTCACGAGTGAAACTTTGGCAACAAGATGTAAGGCAATGAATAAAAACACTGATAAAACTGAAATATGAAAGTTTTGAGGGTGACTTTTTTCTGGTGACTTTTTTCGCAGTTCACAAATCATTTTCTATTACATTTTCATCATTTTCTATTACATTCTCGAACGTAATTTTAAATATATTTTTCTGTTGTAGATTTTTATTCTGACACATATAACTTCATCTTTTTTAATAGTATTTTTACTTAGAAAGTTTACTAACTTGAAGAAATATAATTTTGATCGGTTTATAATCGCATAAAAATTTCACTTGAAAATACTAAAGTAACTAGTATAAAATACTAAATATCAAAGTAACTAGTATAAAATACTAAATATCAAAGTAACTAGTATAAAATACTAAATACACATGCAATTTCGGGTATTTCTACCAATGAAATATATATATATATATATATATATATATATATATATTATGACGCTGATGTGCAATAAAGTATATAAAAAAAACTGAAACTCTATCAGATTTTCTACTCACGTTTAATCCATAAGAGTAATATTGACAGTATGACCATAAAGAATAATATGACGGGTCACGTTTATTCACCGAGCAGAAAGGATCCCAATAATTAAGTGAAAGTAAAAAGTTAAGGAGTAATCGATTCAAAATAGCACACATGCTATTATCCAAACACTGAGTGGAATTCATTATTTTTACCTGTCATTAACATTAAGGAGATTGATTTCAGAAACATGACTCAACTTATCCTGTTCCTAACAGAAGTCAAAGTCTGCATAGGAAATAAGTGGATTGTATTGATTCTGATTTACTTTGGAGATTTTCAAACACAAGAGATGTATATTGTTTATTCTGGTTTGAAATCAGAATTTGACTTCTCATTTCTGGAAATAACGTCGTCAGATCGATATTGATTAGACTTAGTTTAATTCGAAACAGTGTCGAATAGGGCAAAGCTGATGGGGAGAATTGTTTTGTGCCAATCAGTATTTGACATTCTCGCTTTCACCAAGACTCAAACACTTTGCACTGATGTGAAATACGCAATTACTTCAGTCCAAGAAAAGATTGTAGCGAGTCCTGATAAAAATAAAATAAAATAAAATATAAAAAATAATATATTTAAACAAAAAAGAAAGAATTCACATTAAAATAAGTCATTTGCCCTTTTCTTTAAAGCGCTTATTACTTTTCTCTTCTCTCTCTCTCTCTCTCTCTCTCTTGCTAAACTTCTCTCTATATACTTCTCTTTCAACTAATGAGAAGGCAACCTTTAAATAAAAAGAGGAGTAAGAAGAAAAGACTGAACTCGGCCGAAAATCGTCGGAAGTTTGCTGGACCGGAGTCTAGCCATTTGTGACTAAAAATTACTAAAAATCAGAGAGGCTCCACTTCCGCTATATATATAAAATAAAAAAAAATAAAAAAATAAGGAACGCCAGAAAAGAAAATAATATTGGCCAATCAAACAAATTAACACAAAGAGATTTTTTATGTCAGCCTAAACCAAGATTGGCGCCAGTAATCTGAGAATCTCGTCAAAAGCATATAAACTGACAACACTAAACTAGACGAATAGAAGGAACTGCTTGAGAAACTGGAGCAAGAGAAGTGACCGCCAGAGAAACCAGCCATGTGTGACGCGTGAAGAAGTTAAGAGGTTATCTGCTAATGATATTTTCTATCCTTCTTAGGGCCGAGAAAAACAGACTGACGCTGACCTATTTTAAGGTGACTACTACTACCAAATTCTGACTTCGAAACTACCCACTACCGGGCCAAAAATGGGCTTTCTCCAGACTGCTACCAAAATCTATCTTATAAACGAACTTTTGCTACCCCGAATTACAAAGGACCTACTCCAATTTTAATCAAATAAATATACATATAATTTATTTTATATCCTCGAGTCAGTTCGTTTTATTCTAAATTTCTGGTAAATAAATACTAAGAATATACTGGCATTCTCCGCAAGATCCACAATCAGAAAATATTTGAATCTAAATAAATTGTATATGCATTACAAATCAAATTATCCTATGCATTAGTAGATAATCTGTGTAGCATGTTGAAGACTTCATAGCATCTCTCGATGCAGTAGGATTATTTGGCGACACCCATTTCTTCTCTGAGTAACATCCAGCATGTTGGAGTGAATTGACATAGTATCAGTAACAGGAGCAGAATATTGGAAGAGTTCGATTCATGTCTTTCCCGAGGGCAAGACCAACGTAAAACCAAACTACCTTAGTTGGAATATGAACTCGCTTTCTCCAAATGACGTGCGTCACAACAGTTATAATATTTAATTGTTCTTTTCAGTACAAATCTCAATCAAAGGCCAGGACGTGATCAGTTGTGTGTTGGATCAACAACACTGTAAGATAGAGAAAACACTTTGCGGTTGAATAAAATCTTTTACTGACATTAACTCTCTTTTATCTATTATCATATTTTGTGTGTTTCCTTCACTATTTATTTTACGATTCTGAGCAGTTTTTCTGGAACTGGAGGTACAGTTTTACAAAAAGAATTTGATGATTTAAATTCTGAGTTCTGCTTTTAACTAATATAAACATTAAGTTCTACAAAATTTAAGTTTATGAAATGTCATAAAATTAGATAAATGGAGGGTAACAGATATAAAAAAAATATTTTTACCAATATTTTCTAAAAAACATTTCTAAAATAATTTAATCCATTTGTGAATAATACTGAAAGTTTTATTAAAATCCGACAATTATTTGATTTTTGCAAGACTTTCCAAATCGATGTGTTTTTCACTGCAAAAAGACGCTAAAATTCCCTATACTAATCTTGCACCCCTCCCCGCCACTGACAAAAAAAAAAAATTTCGGACGTTCTAAAAAAGATAAAAATATATAATCTAGTAATAAAAAAAATCTTTTGGTTTTTCTTCTTTTGATACAAGGCGTGGACTTTTTTAAGTAAATGTTTAATGCACCTGGTACTAAGAACACGACATGGAACTTAAACAAACAATTATTAACAAGTACATTACAAAAAGGGAAAATTAGAAATGAAAATAAATACGAAGAGTTCCAAACAACCTTCAGTATCTGTCTCTGAATGGCGACAGATCGGGAAGAGTACGTCTTTTCGTTATCAAAGTCACCATGGAATGAGACAGAGTCTTTCAAATCCCGCTCCTCCTGTAATTATCGTCAGAGATGAGGAGGAATTCAATATGTCGTTGATTGTGATTATCGTGAGGAGGCGGTAATCCAATAAATACTCGCCCCAGATTGAAAAAAAGATTCTCTTATGAAATCTGATTTGTAATGTATGTTTCTAAATACCGTAGCGATCACTTTTTATTGTTGAAGGTAGTGAAATTTTAAATGAGGGCATGTTCTCGATTGATTTACTTTGAATGGGATGTTTGTGTGATTTTTTTTAATGTAGGCGGGGTCTTAAGCGATCAGTTGATACGATGTCTTTCTTTTCCCTTTTTTGAATCGTATATTTTCCATGTCGCTCCAACACTTTATGTGGCCTCAAATAAATTGGGAATAATGGTTTCTTAACCATGTCGTTCCTGAGAAAAATATACTCGCAGATTTGCAGGTATAAAAGTTTGCTTGGTCACACATCTAGTGGATGTAAACGATAATCTATTGTTTCTTGCTTTAGTCCGTAGATGGGGTCGAGATTTGTCTACTTCAAAGTATTGGCCAGGTAATGTCAGCAAACGATGTCTGCAGTGCCGGTGTGCAGTATAAGTCTTCTTTCAGAGTATTACAAATTGATAGAAGGGTAATAAGTAGGTTACTTACCCAGTCATAAGAGTCAATCTTTGTGGCTAATGCAGTTTTTAGCTGTCTGTGGAATCTTTCCACAATCTCGTTGGCACAAGGATGGTAGGCAGTATTTCGGATATGAGTAGGTTAACAAATTCCTGGAAGAGTGTAGATTGAAAATGTGATCCTCTGTCAGTAGTAATTACAGGTGGCACTCCAGAAGTACTGATCCAGTCGTTCAGTACAACTTTTGCGAAAAGCAGCAGGCCATTGACCATTGTGAGCATATCGGTGAAACCATGCACGTTGTGTGTGTGTGTGTGTGTGTGTGTGTGTGTGTGTGTGTGAGGGAGTCAACCTTCACTGTCTCTGAGGTACTTACATGCCAACAGAGCAAGAAGAGGATATCTTTTCGCTATCAAAGTCACCAAAGGAATGAGACAGAATCATTCAAATCTTGCACTGTAATTATCGTCGGGGGGTCGCTAATCCAACACATCTTACTAATAACATACACATTTTGACGATAAAACTTTGTTTTTATTAAGTTCGGACATTTTTTTTCATCATGCTATGCTAATTTTTTAGCGAATCAGTAGTGGTATTTATGTGAATATATTAAGCTATGAAAAATATATTCTTGACACTAACTCTCTTTTGTCTGTTGTCATATTTTGTGAGTTTCATTCACTCTTTCCACAAGGACACTTCAATGTACAGAGACACGACGTTACCAAACAGGTAGCCAGCAGCACGCCATAATCGATCAAACCTAACGATAGGTTATGATTTGAGAAAATTATTAATGCTAATGAATATCTGCCATGAAAATTTGTATTAGACATATAGCATATAAGAATTTAGATTAGTATCGGTCTCTAATTTCCATAGATTAGTTTCGGTTTTGTGCAATCGTTCTCATTATATATGTTGGTTGGGTATCGCCAATTTAGACACCTACTCAAATAAAAAGTGTGAAATAAAAGACTTGGATCATAGGTTTCAAAATATCTACTATGTGTATTTTTCATCTTACAACAAAACAAAAATGTTAATATCGCTCAGTAGAGTTTAAAAAAAAACTGAGAAAAGCAAGTCAGTTATCGAAACTTTTTTATTATAAAAGGAAAAAAAACTGTTTTTGAACTTACAATTGCAGAACGAAAACTCGGCCATTAAGTAATTTGTCCTTATTAAGTGAGGTAGAAAAATCTCCACGGTGGAACAGAAAAGTCGCAACAATTTGTCGACTTTAGTAGTGTGTTCAATATCAATAGGCACTTTTCTGAAAACGTCACATATCGAAAGAAAGACATTTAAAAACATCAAAAGGCAAATTGACTTTTGAAAAACAGAAAGTTTAAATATCAGTATGTACATAAAAACTAAAAACTAAATGTCTCTTTCAGTCTTTGTGAATGCATGCTTAAAGTATAATTATAAATATAAAGTCAGCGGTTCACGAACATTACAAATTTTAAAAGCTTTATTATTTTAGTATGTTTATATATAAAATGGTGAATGACTGTAATTTGTTTTTTTAAATTTGGTTTAAGTGTGTGTATTAAAAACAATGCGTCAGCTATGGACAAAAATAAAATGATTTAAAGACTAACATTATTTAAAAAATGCTGCGGAATTAAATGTTTTCTTGCTTATTTTTTTATATATTTTTTGACTATGACAATGAATATTCTGCGACTGGTAAATGGTAGAGAGAATTGGAATGAAACCGAGGGACATAGAGAAGGGATAGATGTTCATCCTCTTACTGTATTTATTAGTCTACCTGGAAATGGCTGGAACAAGAACAGAGGGTAAGCCAGAGGAAATAAAAGTATGTTATAACTCTAACAGACTGAAATAGACTTATTACAAAATGAATTTTACCACCGACCGATTCGAACACCGGACAGTGTTTTATGACCTTAGCTATTTTATCAACATTTGCTCTTTTTTCTACCTACATTTATATACGTTACAAATTAAACTCTGTACAACTGACTATTATCAAAGGATGAGAAATTTTATCCGATTTTGATGTCATTCTGGGGTTTTTCTTTGTCTAAATTCGTGAATTTCTTTTTGGTCATGCTAAACCAAAAAAAAAAACACTATATAAAATTCACTAATTTTTATCCATAATGTTGAGTGTGATAAAATTACTAAACTTTGTAACAAGGAAAATCTCAAGTTAATGGTAAAAATAGCCACAACACATTTTTGATATATTTAAGATGGAATAATACATTATGACATGTCTCTAATTTGTATTTAGATACATTGTATTTATTTTCAATTTTTCTAGTAGAATTGTTCACCTATATTGCATATGATCCATTATTGTACATATTTAGGTTAGAATAAAATTTGTAGTTTATATGAATATCATCTTATGAAAATTGAAATATTGCAGAGTGAGGGGTATCATAGTTTAGCGGTCGTATCATAGATTCAGGAGGAACGAAACTCTTCCACCGACCTACAAACAGTTGAAGATAAAATTATTAGCTCCTACCTCTGCACAAAACTGAATTCTGAAAAAATATTCCTAAGTTCATTTTAACAGAGCAAGTAATTTAACACAGCATTGCTAAACATATGAGTCTTTTTTTAGAAAATGTAATATTTAATTATTTGTACATAATAATTGAATTATTTCAAACAAACCCAAACCTACCAGAAACAATATTATTAACCACCCACTTAAGAACTTTCCTTTTTTATACCGTTGCATAACGATGTGCTTTAACTGCTCTAAGTTTGTAAATTAAAGTTAACACTTACAGTATACACACACAATATAACAACTTAAGCAAGGGTTTGACCTTTCATTTGTGAAAGTTACATGTCAAAATAGAATTAAATTAGTTTAGTCTTGAGAAAAAGAATTTAATGCTCACAAAGCAGGAGAATGATATTCCAAGTGTCATGAACTGGAATAAAAATTATTATGAAGAAGATCAGAGTTGCACATATTAAAGAACAAGACTGTCCTCGACGGAAAAGCCAAAGTAAAAACTCTGAAAAGAAAACTACTGAGAGATGTGTCTAAAGACTTGTTGAAACTTGACTAATGCATGGAATAATAATGCAACACAAAATGTACTTAGAACAAAATGTATTGAAACTAGAAAGTGTACACAATATTTACATATAGTCTTTTGTATATTCCTGGTAAGACCGTTCCTGGAGAATGTGTTGACTGGATCGCAGTCGGGCAGAGTCTCTGGTTGAATCTCTTGATTCCTCCCTCTCTTCTCGGTACCAACCATATTTATATGGTCGGTACTCCACTATGCAAATTAGGTGGATCCTACCACAATAAGACTCTAGAATAATTGTACTTCGAAGGTACTTCACTAAGAAGACATTCACTAGTGCCCTGCACAGGAATAGATTACGAGATCACAGGTCACAGAAAAGAAAACAATTGACTATTAGCATGGGAGCTCTAATACTTCTTACCTTGTATTTCTTGAGTTTTGTGAATTAATATTGTTTCTGTGTGCAAAGTAATATAATGTATGCTTCCTAAATAAAACCAGTATATTTAGAAATACCGTGCTAAAAATCCATTTCTCTGTTAGACAGCAATTAGGAATTAATTTAAAATTTTCATAAAGGGTCTATTCTTATTGTCCTCAATCGTAAGTTCAGTTAATCAAGTTTTTTGTGTGATATAATTTAGTACATAAATGTGGGAATATCCAATTTTAATAAAGAAAAGATTTAATACCTGTTTGCATAAAAAATTGTGTTTAAGTTATAGAGGGTCCTTTATTAATTGGTATGAACCAGCTTAAATAGACTTAATTGAAACAGAGCGACCGAACTCGGGAAATGTAGCGCTCTGTCTGCTAGGAGCAGATTAGAGCCGTTTTTTTTATAGATCGTGAGTGGCTGAAGTCAAGGTATGTGTCCTCTACGAATAACACAGCAGACCTATTTACACACTTTTCTTCTCACTGTATAAGTGTAAACCTCCGGCTTTAATTTCAGACGCCCACAAATGATTGCATCAACTCTGATGTAGAAGAAAATATTATCTTTTCCATTTTAAAGAGTTCGAAAACAGGCCAGATTTGAAATCTTAAACGTTTTGTTTATTTGCCAACATATGATTGACGCTATACAGGGTTCTGAGAAAAATAGCCTTTCTCAGATTTTGCGGAACTGTCTGTATAAGCTAGCAATTTGTTCGATATACAATTTGAATCTTATGCAATTTTAATTTTTAATTTTTATTTTTTTGCTTTCTGCAACCCCCAAAAAAAATAACTTCATTGAACGTTTCAAAATATTACAAATTCCCTTCATTCCTCAACTACTTTGAATATGACAAGCAGTCATATTTTTCATTGACTACGGTTTTTTTATGTTAATAAAAATCAAGGTTAAAAGATAAATTAGATAAACTCTTTTGTCATAATTTTGTGAAATGCGGATTAGATAAAAAGTATTCATTTAAAAGCACAATAAGTATTATAAAAAAAGTACTATAAGTACTAAAAGTACTATGAGTATTCATTTAGAGAAAAATATTAATTCAAAAACTTTGAAAAAGAATAATCATTAATCACAAATTATTTCTTACCTTTGTTGCAAAAATGGCGCCAATGTATCCATATTCTGTCGAGCCAAATTGTAGGATTTTAATCGGATCAAGCGCAGTTCCTCTCTAAGAAATTGGCAATCTTGCGAACCTCCTAGGCCAACAACCAAACTACAATAGCGAGCAATTTCCTTGCTCAAGTCTTGCGTTACCTGAAATTATCCCTAAACATCAAACATAATAAGCACAAAAGAGAATATCTTTGTAGATCATATATGTTTTACGGTTATGATATTCGAGTTGTCCAAATAGAACAACTCTTTACGTATTATGCGCAAAATCAATTTGACAATCTTTTAGGAAGTTGTTTCCGTTTTATTTCTTGTTTGCAGAAAAAAATCACTTATACTTTGGAATATGCAACACTTCATAAGTTTGAATCATTTAAAACAATGTTTTCAAAATGTTTTAAATTAAAATTTTCTTTGCATAATAACTGAAATATGAAAACGGGATCAAATTCTTAAATCATAATTATTGTTGTTTTGTTGCTTTTTCTGTGATTTACTTTATAAATTCTATATATACGACGGGAGTGCTGAAAAGTTCTCGGCCCGACCCATTTTCTGAAGTCAATATTACGATATTTGTGACATGAGTCGGACCGATAACGTTTATGCACTCCTCATATTTTAAAGCAATGCGATTAGTTTATTCCTCTTTCAGTCGTTAAAGCATATGAATTCTTCCATATATTACATCACAACAAAATAGAATAGTCGTAAAAGTAACAGCAAGCTTTATGTATTATATAATCTTGTTCTCGCAGTCAGTTTTATAAATTGAATAAATTATTCTCATTAAAGGATAACAAATACTGCTTGTTTGTTAAGGATTTCGCGCCAGGGGAGATACAGTTACATTGAGACCGCAAGGAGAGCCCCGTATAAAGAAAGCAATAACCGTGTGTCCATTTTAATGTTTTGCATGGCTGCAAAAACCTGAAGCATCCTCAAACATAGACACACACACATATACACAAACACCACATTGGCGACAAGGACACGGCAACAATACTGATATTTAACCCTTTTCTTTGTTTCCATTCATATATATCTCTTTTTCATCTGGATGATGTATTGATAAACAGACATACCACAATACCAAACTTCGAAAGGTAGAGATATACGGTGGAAGAAGTGCATTAACTGACTGGAAAAATGTTTTGTTTTTTATACAAGTGGGAATGATCAATGCTAGAAAGTGTTACTTATGACATTAGAAGGAGACGATTTATACAATATCATCAAGTTGTAACAGAGAGAGGTTGACGCACATGAATGCACACACGCAAATATAACGTTTATTGATTGAAGATGGAAAACACGATCTTCCGTGAAAGTTACAAACTGTGTCAGCGCTATTAATAGGAAAGAATCTGGAACAATGATATATGAAACCTGTGACGGCTGATGGATAAAGAATAAATTTCAAATCGGGTTGGCGAGGACTTGTTTATAAACAAATGCAAAAGGGCAGGAGGCGATGTTTAATTTGGGTCATTAAAAAAAAATAGACGAAAATAATATTTTTGATAAAAGCATATTGAAGTAAGATCAGTGTATGTTTACCGCTAGCGAAATCTGATCTAAACATAAGTTGTATCCGCTGAATTTGGTCATCAAAAAAGACAATTGAAATGAACATTGAACTAATTAATTTTATCCACTAAGAGATTTGAAATAGATCTGAATTTAAACTTTGTTTATGGCGACACTCGTGTTAAGCGCGTGAACAACCTGGCTTATAACCTTCGGTTTGCTATATAAACGCGAGTTTTGCTGAGTTGGAGAGACTTGGGCGTTAGACGAAAGTGACGTTGAGAGAGAGAGAGACTGTCGTTGCAGTGAGTCGGTCCAGTGGCGAGTCAGAGATAAGGACTTCAAGAAATATCATCGTCGTTGTAGCAGTCGCATTGAAAAGTCGCTGAAATTTAACGTTTGTCACTTACGACAACCAACTGAAAAGCTACACTTCCACGTAGAGCTGGAATTACGAGTCACATATCCTCCCAAGTTGATTTGGAACGAGTTAATCACACACACACCTCTCTCTGTTGGTATAATTGGTAGAGGAGTGGTCCTATGTTCTTAAGTTAATTGCTTTTCTATCCTTCCTGTAAACTCTTTCTACTGTTGTTGTTTTCTTATATAAAAGACATCAATATTTTACCCATTGTTGTTCGGCTTCTGCAGATATTATTTCCTTGTTTGCCACATACTAATTTTCCTGCCGCCCACCCTCACAGCTGTGCCTACATCCCCAATCGACCGTGAACGGATGGACAACACCCCGCTTACTGGATCTAAAAACTAACACAACGTGGGCAGCAGGCGGAACTTGGCCAGTGACCGGTCGAACAATCTACGGGTACTTAGGGAGCGTGCGGCCAGCTACCCCTGAGTTCGGTTCAGATCGAGTGGGCGCCTCAACCCAAAGAGGAAGACGCCGGAGGTTGAGGGGCTGAAGGGACGAGTGGTAGAAAGTCCTTACCGCGCGAACAGCTACAATCTAAAGTAGGCTAAACACACTTCATCAAACTTGTGAGTGCAGTAGAAAACTAGCAACAGAACAGTGAATATGAATTTACCTTCCGTCAGATAAAAAGAAAAAAATATGAATGATATAGATATAGAAATTTGCAAGATACAGCTCTACAAACATCCGCTTTACAACCTCAACCCTCAACAAGATATAACCAAAGAAGGAAAGTGCATCAGCTTGAAGACAAACTCCACAATAATACTCAAATCAAATAATGAAATTGGATGCGTCTTCATTACCGTCAACAAGCGAGCAACGCCATACCTCGTTTTAACATTGTCATCAAGATATTACCTTAACACTTTAACGTCCTCACTGATTAAAAAGTTACAGTTAACATTCTATCAGAAGTTGACTTTGAGCCCCTATTTCCAAAATCTCAACTTGAAAGGTCAAGAATAGTTATATCTGTCGATGGCATTCAATAAGATCATACCAATACTAGGACAATTCTAGGCGATCCTTTATTCCGGCAACACTGTAAGCCAGACTATAATTTGCGTGGTAACCGGCACAGACAAAAACCCATCTTAGGCTGGAAACCAATGAAGCTGAAACGCCTTTCAGCCAAAGAAAACATGATTCTCACTCTAAACACGCAAGATAGAGGGTTACTAAATGAGGTGTGTTGGTGCACGTAAGAGGAGGAGGTACGAAATGCAGATTATGAGTATACGTAGGATAGATAACGGCTGACCTTAGATTTGAAGATGGTAAGATTGGGAATGGAACCTTTTTGGGAGTCTGTTCTACAAAGTAGTGCTTCTTGGGATGAAATTGTCCGAATGGAATTTCCTTCTTACTAATGGAATACGGAAGGAACGAATAAGATTCAACCCTATGTACGTGTAATAGCGGTTCTTAGCTGTAATGATCTGGTGGAAGAAATGGGAATGATTGAGAAGAAAAATGGGCCAACACCATGGGTGTTTCAAACTCATTGTGGTACCTAAGAATCTACAAGGATCAAACTTTGCGTAGACCTTTTAACCATTAGACTTTCTAACCAGTAGATCTTCTAACACACTAACCAAGCAACATTCCAACGACTTACAGAAGGCCTCATCCTGAGCGCAGTGAAATATGAATACAATAAAAAATCATTGGAGTTCCTAGAAGAGTTCTTCAGAGAATACATGAAATCAGACTGCCAACAAAATCAAAACAATCCTGGATTTCTCAAAGCCCAAAGAATGTATCAGAGTCTTGCATTTTCCAGGGAATGTGAGATACACTTTATCTCTGACTTAGGACCTATGTCAACTGCCATGACAGAGAGAGTCATGCCAATGCCTTCAATAAATTGAAAATACTTTGGATAAGCTATGCGCGTTGACTTATTTTGATCCGAACATCGGCGATCTACACAGATCACAGTCCAGTTTGCATTTCAAGAAGGAAGTGTCATTCAGTTTTCAAGTTGAACTCTCACACCAGTGGAGTAGATACTCACAGACTTTGCACGAATTACTCGCAATCACATACGTGTATGTAAGTGATTCCACATCTACATTTTCGATGTTCCATGTATCATTTTACTGATCACTGACATCACTCTTTAACAATACCCACACCAAACGATTGGTGCTGAGAGCACAACCATAAAATTACTATTCATTACCGTCCAGATCACGACGACCCAACTGACTACACGATTCGCAGTCCAGTGAATTGGTCACTCACTGACAATGAACAAAAAGTATCCTAGAAATATTAGTTTATGTCATAAATAATTTCCGTTTTTGAGAACCAATTGTAATGACAAATGTACTACCTGTTCCTTAAATATATCATAACATATACGATAATGTTCAACGCAAAATGCAAGGATAAATCTCTACAACTGATTCCAAAAGCTGGGCTTTATAGAAGAAAGGAAAGTGTTTCGAATGATGCCTGCAATCACTTATAGGTGATTATGCAACGAGTGACAGTGTTTGTTTTTTTAGGGGGGGAAATTATAATGATAAACTTGACTACATATTATATACACACGTACCTACACATTCATATTAAACTGTTTCCATGACCATTTTGATTTCAAGTACTGTTCTTTCAGTTGCTGGGCATTATCAATGTATGGAGCAAAAACTCAAACAAGTACTTGTCCTCATCATCACATATTCTCTCTTCACCCCTCTATCTATCTTCCTTCCTTTCTTCCTTCCTTCTCTCTTCCCATCTCTCGCTTTCTCTTTCTCTTTCTGATGCACTCAGGCTAAAATCGAATCTGTGGTAGCGTTTAATTAGCTGCAAACGGTTGGCGTTGATGATTTTTTTCTTTTTTGCCTGGAAACCATTTGATCGCAATTGGTTTCAATTTGCAGCTGCCCAAACACAAAAAGAGACAAGCAACATATGTTTGTTGGATTGGAAAAGAGACAAAAACCACTTTTTTTTCAATGTTTTTCCACTGAAACTATTTTTATTAACCCCAGACTTCATTTTCTTTTCTTTTTCATTCCTTTCA